AACCCTACCTGTTCTTTTGCCCAGAATGGTAAAATAACATCATATTTTTGTTCTGAAAAAACTAAAAACACCTGGGTCATTGACTCAGGTGCAACAGACCACATGACCTATATTCCAAAGTTTTTTTCTTCTTATCAACCTTGTGCAGGAGATAAAAAAGTTAGAGTTGCAGATGGCTCTTTCTCAGCCATAGCAGGGATGGGAAATATTAAAATTTCCTCATCCATTAACCTTTCCAAAGTCTTACATGTTCCTAAACTTTCCTGCAATCTTATCTCTATTAGCAAAATTACTAAAGATCTTCAGTGTTGTGTAAAATTTTTTCCCTCTTATTGCATTTTTCAGGATCTGGCATCAGGGAAGATGATTGGCAGTGCTAGAGAGGAAGATGGCCTCTATATTTTTGATGAAGGAACACAATTGAATAAACAAGGTCAAGAAAAAACTTGTTTGCAAACTGTCTTTCCTTGTAATAATGAAGTGTACCTAATGCACTATAGATTAGGTCACCCAAGTTTTTCCTACCTGAAAATGTTGTTTCCTAAGTTATTTCTTAATAAAAATCCTTCATCATTTCATTGTGATATGTGTGCACTTGCCAAACATCATAGGAGTTCTTACATCCCTCATAGTTACAAACCAACTAGTCCTTTCACTATTGTACACAGTGATATCTGGGGTGCATCTAGAGTTTCAACTCTGAAAGGAAAAAGGTGGTTTGTAACTATCATAGATGATCACACAAGGGTCACATGGGTGTTTTTACTTAAAGAAAAATCTGAGATTGAAGAGGTGTTCAAACAATTTTACTCAATGATCCAAACTCAATTCAACACTAATATCAAAATTGTGAGAAGTGATAATGGACTTGAGTATTTTTCTAAGAAGTTAAATACTTTTTTTGCTGAAAAAGGGATTGTTCATCAAAGTTCCTGTGTAAATACTCCTGCTCAGAATGGAATAGCTGAGAGGAAAAATAGACATTTACTTGAAGTTACTCGTGCAATAATGTTTTCTGCCAAAATTCCAAAATATTTATGGGGAGAAGCTGTTTTACATGCTACCTATCTAATTAATAGGATGCCATCAAAAACTCTAGGATTCAAAACTCCTATTGATACTCTTCAAACTTGTTTTCCTGAAACTAGACTAATTAACTCTCTTCCCATAAAAATTTTTGGGTGCACAGTTTTTATTACCAATCCTGACAGAACTGCAAGTAAATTTGACCCTAAGGGAAAAAAATGTGTTTTCTTAGGACTCTCTTCAACTCAGAAAGGCTATAAATGTTTTGACCCTATAACAAAAAAGATGTTTATAACTATGAACACTGTTTTTGTAGAAGATCAACCTTTTTTTGGTACTCATCTTCAGGGGGAGATTCCTAATGAAGATGGTAATAATGTATCACATATCCTTGAAAAACTAGAACCTCTTGACATTAATCTAGATGCACAGTATAATAGACAGTTAGATGCACTAGAAAATAGTCAAGAGTCAAAAGAAAATGAAAAACTTTTTTCTGAAACACGGAAAGATGATGAACAGCAGATAAGTAAGTTTTTTGGCAAGGTTTATGAAAGGAAAGTTCCAAATCACAGAATAGAGGACATCCCTGATCCTGCCACTGTCAATGAATCTGACTCAATGCCAGAAAATGACAAAGGTAATAATTTCAGTGATTTAAATCTACCCATTGCTCTCAGAAAAGAAAAAAGGTCATGTGTTAAATACCCTATCTCAAACTATCTGTCCTATTCTCAGTTATCTACATCATTTGCAGCTTTTACCTCTAGCCTTTCCAGTGTCTCTATTCCCTTAACCATACAGGAAGCCCTATCTATACCTGAGTGGAAGAAGGCTGTTTTAGAAGAAATGAATGCCCTTGAAAAGAATCAGACATGGCAGACTGTAGAGGTACCCAAAAATAAACCAAGGGTTGGATGCAAATGGGTGTTTACTCCTAAATTCAAGGCAGATGGTACACTTGAAAGATATAAGGCCAGACTGGTTGCCAAAGGATACACACAAACCTATGGCATAGATTATACAGAAACTTTTGCACCAGTTGCAAAATTAAATACTATAAGGATTCTACTATCTCTAGCTTCTAACCTAGACTGGCCTCTTCAACAGTTAGATGTGAAGAATGCTTTCCTAAATGGGAAGCTTGAAGAGGAAGTATACATGAGCCCTCCTCTTGGGTTTGAGGAACAATATGGCTCAAAGGTGTGCAAGCTAGAGAAAGCCTTATATGGGCTTAAACAGTCCCCAAGGGCTTGGTTTGAAAGGTTTACTCAGTTCATAAAGAAGCAGGGATTCAAACAAGCCCAAGCAGATCATACACTATTCATGAAATTCTCCATTAAGGGAGAAATTGCAGTACTAATTGTTTATGTGGATGATATAATTCTTACAGGAAACTATTGTGAAGAGATTGAAGACCTGAAGAAGAAGCTTGCTCAGGAATTTGAAATCAAAGACCTGGGAGAATTGAAGTATTTTCTTGGAATGGAGATAGCCAGATCAAAGAAGGGAATTGTGGTATCCCAAAGGAAGTATGTACTAGACCTACTTCATGAAACAGGTATGAGTGCATGCAGACCAATAGATACTCCAATTGACCCTAATCAGAAGTTAGGAAATGTCAAGGAAGGAGTACCAGTTAATATTCACCAATATCAAAGATTGGTGGGAAGGTTGATTTATCTGGCACATACAAGGCCAGATATTGCCTTTGCAGTCAGTATGGTTAGTCAGTTCATGCATAATCCATTCCAAGAACATCTAGATGCTACCTACAGGATCTTAAGATATTTGAAAAGTTGTCCAGGGAAAGGATTATTTTTTAAAAGAAGTGACAATAGAAGTGTAGAAGCCTTTACAGATGCAGATTATGCTGGGTCAATAACTGATAGAAGGTCTACATCTGGATATTGTACTTATGTATGGGGGAATCTGGTGACTTGGAGGAGTAAGAAGCAGAATGTTGTTGCCAGAAGTAGTGCAGAATCTGAATTTAGATCTATGGCTAATGGAATCTGTGAGCTACTTTGGATCAAGAGAATGATGACAGAGTTGAATATGGAAATGAACCTACCTATGAAATTATATTGTGACAATAAAGCAGCCATTAATATTGCTCACAATCCTGTGCTACATGATCGTACTAAACACATTGAGGTGGACAGGCATTTTATCAAAGAGAAGATTGAAGCTGGAATTGTATGCACACCATTCATATCTACTAAAGAGCAGACAGCTGATATCTTTACAAAGGGGCTGTTTAAACCAGTGTTTGAGTTTCTTATAAGCAAGTTGGGAATGTATGATATATACTTACCAACTTGAGGGGGAGTGTAGAAAAATGTAGCATATTCATGTTATTTTATTATGTATACATCCGGAACTGTATAGATAGGAAGTAGAGTTGATTTAGGACTCTAACTCTTAGATTAACACGCAGTGTAGATAAGAATAGATAGATCCTAAATATTAGGATCTGTAACAAACCTTAGCTTATCTGTAATTTTGTATTTATATCATTGCCGGATGGCTCAATAATACATGGAAGATTAATTCTTCAAACCTACAGTTCGGAAGTGCTATACTTGTCAGGTTTATAAAGGCCAATCCCAAAACACTAGCCTATATATGCCTCTGCCCATTCCGGATGACATCTGGCAGGACCTCTCTATGGACTTTGTGCTCGGTTTACCTCGGACACAGAGAGGTGTGGATTCCGTGTTCGTAGTGGTTGATAGGTTTTCCAAGATGTCCCATTTTATAGCCTGCAAGAAAACTGCGGATGCCTCTAATATAGCCAAATTATTTTTCAGGGAGATAGTGCGTTTACATGGAGTTCCTAAAACCATTACTTCGGATAGGGACACCAAATTTCTAAGTCATTTCTGGATTACCGTGTGGCGGTTATTTGGAACAACGTTAAATAGAAGCTCTACAGCTCACCCGCAAACGGATGGACAGACCGAAGTAACGAACAGGACATTGGGAAATATGATCAGAAGTGTTTGCGGGGAAAAGCCAAAACAGTGGGATCTAGCATTGTCGCAGGTAGAATTTGCTTACAACAGCGCCGTGCACACAGCCACGGGGGTAACACCTTTCTCTCTGGTCTACACTTCCGTCTCCAGACATGTAGTGGATCTGGTGCCGTTGCCTAAAGCTCCTGGAGTGAGCTCCGCTGCTGAAAATTTGGCCAGAGATGTTGATAGGAATGGGCCTATTATTGTAGATAATTTCTCGATCGGATTTTCAGTGTTCTAACAGATGTGCAGACTACTAAAGAAGTTGTGAAAGCTAAGCTAGAAGCTACAGGGCAGAAAAATAAGGTTGCTGCTGACAAGCACAGGCGATTGAAGGTGTTTTCCGTTGGTGACGATGTAATGGTATTTTTGCGAAAAGAAAGGTTGCCGGTAGGGACCTACAAGAAGTTGCAACCCCGCAAGTACGGCCCTTTCAAAGTGACAAAGAAGATTAATGACAACGCCTATGTCATCGCTCTTCCTGACTTTTTGAATATTTCTAACACGTTCAATGTGGCTGATATATATGCCTATCACGAAGATGCTACTCTTTACCCCGATCAGAACTCAGGGTCGAGTTTTTCAGAGGTGGAGGAGACTGATGCAGATAGGCTCGCTGAGCAAATCGAAAAGGAGCTGGCAGAACGAGCAGCCTAGTGTTTGGGCTTCAAATTTTATGTTTTATTTACTAATTTCCACTTTAAATTTTCATAATTTACTTCTTGTTGGGTTTGGGCCTTAAAAGCCACACCCAAATAGTATTTAAGCTTTCCAAGTACGTTAAACAAAGGATACGTTTTGATTAAGCAAATAAACCAGGAGTCTTTCTCTGTTTTCAGTGGATTTCCGAAGAAACCTTTCGAGTTCGTTGCTGGCGAACTCAAACATCAAATTCGAGGTTATCAGTTTACCCCGAGTGCCTCATTTGCTGCGTCAAGAAGACAAAAAAATTACCAGTGCCTCATTTTCCTTGGAGAGGACACCAAGTGCTGTCTGCAATGATGAGTTTCCCTTAGATGCTGAAAGAATTACTTTTTCAGCTACCTCTGCCTGCAAACCATGTAAGCATTCATTCAATGTCATTAAGTTGATTTCAAGATAAATGACAGCTATGACAGGAGTAGCGGTTGTGCAAAATCTGGTGGGAAATGACATTGCATCTTCAACTATGGATGCACATATAGGCATCAAGATTTCAGATTGCACATATAAGAATCGGAATGTAGTTTCTGAAATAAGTGAAAACTGTGACAGGAGTACCCACCATGCAAAATTTAGAGGCGAAGAGGTGAGGAATGAAATTGCATCCTCAAAGATAAGGGACACTATCATCCAGATGTTGAAAATGCTCAAATAATCACGAGAACCATAAGGTTAGTGAAAAGAATGAAATTTATGACAGGAGTTCCTGTTATGGAAAAACTGATGGTGTTAAGGTAGTGACTGAAATAACATCTTATAAGATGGGAGATATAAGCATCATGATCAAGGAAAGCTCAAATAACCTTTCGAACATGTTTTGTCCTGTTAAATGAATAGTGTAACAGAAATACAAATTATGCAAAATCTAGTGCAGAAGAGGTAAGTGCTAGCGCTAGGAGAATAGACAAAGAGAAGATATCAAATATAAAAAATAGTTCTGACAGCAACTTGTTCATATTTGATTTTGTCAGTATAAGATAAGTAAGCGCAACCATAAAGTTTGTGAAGCTCTCCAAGATAAAGGTGTTTATGTTGACTTTGAATCAATAAATGAAGAGACAAAAACTGTTAAAACTATTAAAGACATCTAGTGAAGTTACGAAATTTAACAATTCCCATTAAAGTCATATAATATTAGCATGGAATCTCTAAAGCTGGGGGAATTGAGTCTCCAAGTAAGATGAGAAGCCATCATTGGTTTTCATCTTTTATGTTTGGTTGTACTTAATTGATTCTGGCATTCTTCAATGATTGACTTTACAACTTCTATTAAGGTTTCTATGAATACTGACAAAAAGTCAAAGTATTCATTTCACTTTATCATCAAGAGCCACCACTAGCACTTATATCACTTACTTTAGCATCTACAGTTTTATCAATGCCTATATTTTCTAACGCTACATACTCCATGCCAATATTATTTAACACGCTCCCATAAAAAAATGTAACTTGACAACTTTGAAGGGGATTGTTAAATTTAGCAACTTCATTTGATCACTCATTTACTGATTTATAGTCACCAACACTTTTATCCTTGAACGTTTCCTGGTTGAGCCACATGTCTTAGTTACTCACAAAATTAGATATGAAAAAGCTATTGTCAAAGCTCTTTTTACCTTCTCTTTGTATATCATTTGAGAGTTTGGGCTAGCACCAAACTATTGAGCACTAAGTTTTTAGATACTCCGTACTCCTGCTACACTTTCATTTACTTCATGAACACATTTTTGCCATGGTTATGTAGTTTTCCTTCATCAGAATGTTTGTATATCCCACCTTTGAAGATGTCATTTCATTCATTGCCATTACACCAAAGAAATTGTCATAACAACAACTTATGTCACAGTTCTCATTCATTTCACCAACCATGCGATTGCAGTGGTCATATGAGCAACCCAACATCTTGATGCTAGTACCTCATCTTTGAGGAAGCAATTTCATTCCCTAAATCTTCGCCGCTGGAATTCCCTTTATGGCAATAGTGTTTTGGTATTCATCTATCTTACAAACTACATCATCATAGTTATTATCTGAGTGATAGTACAATTTGATGCTTATATATACAGCAAGCTTTAAAGATGCAATGTCATGGCTTACCTCATTACCACTAGATTTTGCACAATTGGTATTGCTGTCACAGTTCCCATTTTCTTCACAAACCATATTGTCGCAGTCATTATCTAAGCAATCCAACATGTTGGTGCTTGTATCCCCCATCTTTGAAGATGTATTCTCATTCCCTATTTGGTTCTTATTTATTTCACAAACCAAGTTGTGGTTATCTGTGGAACCCAACATTGTGATGTTTGAATCTCCCATATCCAGAGATGCATTTTCATCAGCATACGGAGTGTTTTTGCAAATTGAACTTTGCAAACTGATTGGGGCAGTCTCTCTGCAATCCAAACAGGTGCTTCATTAAATGCAAATATAACATGAAAATGGAGCAAACAGTCAATCATTGCATTGTGACATGGAATTCAATAGAACTTGTAATTAAAATTATTCCTGGTACCCCGGGTGCAAGGCTGACAAGATAGTGGCATAAGGAAGCAGCTGAAAATGCTCAACAACAGGAGTAGTAAAACACCAAGTAGACCTCTTCACTACCAGTGGGCCCTGCAAGCTAAGGAAATGAAGAGCTTTATTATCAAAAGTCAAAACCAAAGTTCTGTATTTAATATAAATCACGTTAAAGTAGATGGTAATTTCATCGAAGAGACTTGAGAGGGGGAATCTGCATGCCATACTTTCCAACTTCATAACAGCTAGCAGATGTCCTTACTAAAGGTCTTTACACATGTTTGACGGAGCATAGTTTTTGCTTCAGTTTGAGGGGAGTGTTGATGGTTTCACTTACCTCTACATATGTTTAGTGGGTAGTTAGCTCCTGATTATTGGTGACCATTTGGTCTAGAGCGCAGCTTTCATTTTGCAACCTAACAGGAACATCGCTGTTCAATTATAATAGCTTTCGGTTTGCACATTGCAATCGGGTGAGCACATTGGTACGATGGGATTACTGGACTCAAAATTGTGTTAATGGGCTCTATATTTCCTTGATATACCTATTTCATGAGTTCAAACGCAATGGAACATGACCAGGATTATCGAGAAGTGGAGATCATTCAAGAGAGCATACACATAGTATATTGGTTTATGCGGGCATAATGTTTTATGTGGATATGGAGCCCTTAATTTAAGATTACCAGCATAATTACTAGTCTTGTTGAAGTCTATAATTTTGAACAGTTGTGACTCTGTAAGAAACAATAGGTTGCTAAAATAATACTAGGTGCTTAGTAGTTACTCCCTCCGTCCCTTTAAATTCTTCCCACTTACCTTTTTGGGATGTCCCAAAAAAATATTCCCATTTCTCTTTTTGGAAAGTTTTTTGTGGTTAATATTCATTTATCTTTTTCTTACTCAACCACAATCATGCATTTTCACTTTATTCCCACTTTCTTAAACTCTGATCCAAGTCAAACTGGGAAGAATTTTATGGGACGGAGGGAGTATGATATTAGACATATTGACCTGTCAATAGTGTTTTTAGGAGGAAATATAAAATCTGGAGTTGATGGTTTACCATACTAACCTCTTGATAGTGCCTTTAAGAGAGATTATAAAATTTGGAGTTGGTTTAGTGCATTGCATTATGTAAAAGCAGGTGGTTGTCTTTGCTTTGCTTAAAGAATATACAATGTGCTTCCCCAAAACAGTAAGATCAGCTCGTTTAATACCTGCACAACATAAAGCGCAATATCATTGCAGCAGATGAAGTCATCAAATCAGAAAACGATATTTCATCAGTACAAATTTACAGAGAACACGTGATTATGATTTGGAAGGAAGTGAAGCAACAAATACAATGCGATCAGATCAAGACAACAAACAGTTCAGACTCAAACTGGATTAGGCATAAATCTACTTCTAGAATACAGGTCAAGCACTCAAGAATGGGTTAGCAAGTTTCTATTGTGGATAGTAAATCTTTTTTACATCACCTATGTTGAAAGTCATCCCTTTGGTCTTAGTAAGATTTTATTTAGGTAAACTGGGACATTTGCAAACTCTGCACATCAACTCGGTGCCTCTGCTTTTTACAAATACACAGACAAAGGTGGGCCATGTAAATGGTACTCCTATTTTGCATTTATAGTTTTTATTGTTTTAAAACTAATACTCCATACTATATTTAATTGGTATTCTAATTTGCATTTTTAGTTTTAATCACTCTAAAGAACTAATACGAAGTAGTATAAATAAATGGCACTCTATTTTGCATTTTTGTTGTTTCAAATGCTTTAAGAAATACTCTAAATATTCTAACAATTCAAAAGTATATTATATTTTGTATGAAATTTGTTGAATAAAAAATCTTTTACGTATATGTCCTAGTACAATATAATTAAAGTAACAAACAACACCCTTCCACAGGCTCGCTTAATCTTCCCCTGCTTGGGCTGGATCTTGCCGCCTTGCCACATGTCAATTGTTTAGAACCTTACTTACAAGTAATACATGTAAAGAGAATCATAGAAGACCTATTCTGTGAGGAATATTTGTGAATCACATTGTATACTCTACTAAATAGCCGATTAGCAGGATAATTTGCAACATTAATCAAACTACCTGTTGCATCCTGAACTGCCAAAAACGCAAGCTGCTGCAATCTTGACTCGCTAGTTTTTGGTTCCCTTTTTAACAATGTTCCGCCAATTCGTTTTCTTTTATTCACATCTTTTGAATCACTGGTGGGGATTTCGATACTTTTTTCAGGAATAGACCAAACCCCTTCATTGACAGGACCAAACATCAGAAAACAGTTCTCCTTGTCAGGGTCCAGTAACAAAACAGAAACTTTTGAAATTTCCCATCCTTCTATTACGGGGTTAGTTTTGGATGCATCTAGAATGAGAGATAAGTTGCATGCATCTTGGATTGATCTTTCTACAATAGAGAGATTCTTTTCACGGTCATCTAACTCCTCAGAATTAGACGGAGGCTTGGAGTTCAAATGCCAAGCTAAAACTGGCCTTAGTGTAACAGCCAACTTGCAAAATGCCTCAAAATCCAAATGCTCTTCTTGGGGAAACTGTTTCCGGTGGTAGTAATTGTAAAGCAACACAACTGCATGCAGCTGAATCCAAAAGGGGTGAAAACGAGAAGATGAGAGACAGCCATTTGAGGCCACTTTCATATAAACATGTTCATAACGATTGAAGAGTCATCATGCAAAAAAAACGTGTAGAACAACAGCACAGCTAATAAATACTGCCATTACATAATGTTGGGGAAAGTGAAAGAGAGACGATCCTCAATGAACTTGTTGCAGTTACATATGTTGCAGACAATTTCAACATTCAATAGTTCTTGATCACCAGAAGTCAATCCAATGGGTTCAGATCTTTTAAAAGATAAACAGTGTGTAGAAACTATGGCTACAAGAAGTTAGTAGCATTTTAGATAAGTACTCAAGAAATCAACCCTATATAAACAAAGATGGCTGCGCTTGGTTGACAACAATCTTAACAGTGCACAGTCCCTTCTATGATAATCAAGAAGTTGAGGTTAATTCAAGTCCATTAACATAAGGTGGAGTCCTCATGTGCCACAAAAGCTATAGGACTGATAGGACAATGAGTGAATCACAATTCACAACTTCTGCTACACCTCATTCTTAGACTCTTAATTAACTCAAAAACACAACATAAAAGGTAAACTTCAAAGACTAAAAACTTAAAAGGAGCCTAACATTCTTGATTTCTTGTCAGTAACAAGACTAGTTTAGGAAATGCTTCAGAATTCAACATCCAAGAAGTAAATGAATTCGCTAGACCAGGCAAGCAAAATAAAAAATGAAAACAAACATTCAGAAACACCAAGCAATCGATACAACAGTTTGATAGGCGAAGATGTCGCGTTAGTAGTGTAGGGAAGTGATTAAACCTGTTTTGCTACTGATTGTTGTTTATGGATAGGCGGGTCTCCTGGTGGGATATGACTTACTGGCAAGAGAGGCCCCACCAATAAACGCAGCAGCGTTTCCACTACATCTTCCTTTCGGGAAATCACAAGCCCGGATGCATCCATTTCTGATATCCTTAAGCCCCACAAAAATGAAATCCAAGTCATTAAACAAATCAATTGCTCATTTTTAGTTCATGGAAGTGAAAATTAGCTGATTGAGCCTCAATGATGTCCAGAAAACGTACAAACTTGACTCGCGATAACCCAACACAGCATCACTCTGAAAAGGACACAGTTCAAAATTAAAAAAAAAACGCTTTCTCTGCTTACCTCGATCACTGAAGAGCCCGGACGTATAGAAAATGCAGACGTCGACGAGAAGTATGAAGAAGTTGGGCGAAAAAAATGTGAGCTTTCTGTAGAATTTACTACAGGGGTTTAAACACATGTATTTTTCCTGACTAAGGCGCGCGAAACCCTCTTCCGGTAATGGGATTTAGTGCATGAACAAGCTGTTCTGACCAACTAAATATTGGACTTTTCGATAATACACGTCAGTAATTCAGATTTAGTGAACCGTAATAATGATGTTGCTTATCCTCCGTAGAGTGCCTGTAGAGTGCTTATACCGTGCAACCGGTATACGGTGAGCACCGTATATCGGTACAGATTTTTTTTTTCCTTTTGTTTTTAAAAAATGGTAATAACTTTTTTATTTTTGATCCGATTTTTATAAAATTTATATCAACATTTTTTATATTTCATGATCTTTCAAATGAGACCAATATTGCCTATGTAATTTTAACATATTACCATTTGCGTGTAAAATATGTAACTTTACGTGTTAAAATATGTAACTCACGTTCAGTCAGGCAAAATGCAACTCATGTGTATAAATATGTATCTCTACGTGTAACAATATGTAACTTTTCGTAAAAAAATATGTAACTCGCGTTCAGACAGGTCAAATGCAACTCGTGTGTATAAATATGTAACTCGCGTGTATAAATATGTAACTTTATGTGTAAAAATATGTAACTTTACGTGTAAATATATGTAAGTCGCGTTCAAGCATGTCAAATGCAACTCGTGTTTATATATATGTAACCCGCTTTTAAAAAGATGTAACTTGCTTATAAAAAGATGTAACTTGCTTATAAAAAGATGTAACTTGCTTATAAAAAGATGTAACTCGCTCATAAAAAGATGTAACTCAATGTATTATCAAATTATCAAATGTAACTGAGGCCACTGATTCACTCCCAAACAGATTCGATCTTCTAGTCCACAAACCTATCATCTCCCAAACAGATTCGATTTTCCTTATAATCCAATACTCAATAATATAATAGTTCGATAATTTATTAAAATTACATAAGCAATATTGGTCTCATTTGAAAGATCATGAAAAATAAAAAATGTTGATATAAATTTTATAAAAATCGGATCAAAAATAAAAAAGTTATTATCATTTTTTAACAACAAAAGCAAAAAAAAAAGAGTCAAGCTGCGTCGTTTTGCAACCGGGCGCACCATCCTCATGGTGCGCCGGTTGCACCGTATAATCTGCGGTGCCTATACTGTTCAACGGTGCATGGTTAGCACCACGCACCCATTGAATATTATTTTCTCTTTTTAAATAAATGGTAATATTTTTTTTATTTTTGATCCGATTTTTATAAAATTCATATCAACATTTTTTATGTTTCATGATCTTTCAAATGAGACCAATATTGCCTATGTAATTTTAACATATTAACATTTGCGTGTAAAATATGTAACTTTACGTGTTAAAATATGTAACTCACGTTCAGTCAGGCCAAATGCAACTCGTGTGTATAAATATGTATCTCTACGTGTAACAATATGTAACTTTACGTAAAAAAATATGTAACTCGCGTTCAGACAGGTCAAATGCAACTCGTGTGTATAAATATGTAACTCGCGTGTATAAATATGTAACTTTACGTGTAAAAATATGTAACTTTACGTGTAAATATATGTAAGTCGCGTTCAGGCATGTCAAATGCAACTCGTGTTTATATATATGTAACTCGCTTATAAAAAGGTGTAACTTGCTTATAAAAAGATGTAACTTGCTTATAAAAAGATGTAACTTGTTTATAAAAAAATGTAACTCGTTCATAAAAAGATGTAACTCAATGTATTATCAAATGTAACTGAGGCCACTGATCCACTCCCAAACAGATTCAATCTCCTATTTCACAAACCTATCATCTCCCAAACAGATTTGATTTTCCTTATAATCCAATACTCATTAATATAATAGTTCGGTAATTTCTTAAAATTACATACACAATATTGGTCTCATTTGAAAGATCATGAAAAATAAAAAATGTTGATATAAATTTTATAAAAATCGGATCAAAAATAAAAAAGTTATTGTCATTTTTTAACAACAAAAGCAAAAAAAAGAGTCGTTTTTTTGCCGTATAATTTGCCTTGCTTATACCGTGGAACCGGTGCATGGTGAGCATCATGCACCCTTTGTTATTTTTTATTTCTCTTTTTCTTAAAATTGTTAATAATTTTTTTATTTTTGATCCGATTTTTATAAAATTTATATCAAAATTTTTTATTTTTCATGACCTTTCAAATGAGACCAATATTGCCTATGTAATTTTAATTTTTTACATTCATACATTTTTTTGTAATACTCCTTATATTTTTATATGCATACACTTTTTTCTATAATACGGAGTATATCTTTTTTATCACTTTTATATGTTTTTAGAGGTTTTTAAGATATTGAGTTTGTTTATTTTGCTTCTAGCTTGGAGTTACATTTGATAATATACGAAGTTACATCATCTTATATTCCAGTTACAAGTTATTATGTGTGAGTTACATCTTGTTATGTGTGAGTTACATCTTGTTATGTGTGAGTTACATCTTGTTATACACGAGTTACATACTTTTATGCGCGAGTTACATATAATTATGTGTGAGTTACATCTTGTTATGTGTGAGTTACATCTTGTTATACACGAGTCACATACTTTTATGCGCGAGTTACATGTAATTATGTGTGAGTTATATCTAATTATTTGTGATTTTTTACTTATCTTTATCTTGAACTAATTCAATTATAACTGAATTAATTTTTTTCTTTGCCAATTTAATACAAAATTTTATTAATTCAGGCCACATAAAATAAGTATATTGTATTTCATATTCATACACTATTTTTCAAATGATAAAAATGAAAGATGTAGCAGGGGTTTATTTCGTGGTGTAACTCACATACATTAAGATGTAACTCGCATATATTAAGATGTAACTCGCGTACAATAAGATGTAACTCGCGCAAAAAAAGATGTAACTTCATGATATATTATCAAATGTAACTTCAAAATAATATGTTAAAATTACATAAGCAATATTGGTCTCATTTGATAGATCATGAAAAATAAAAATAAAATTATATAAAATTTATAAAAATCGGATATGAAATAAAAAAGTTATTACAATTTTTAACAATAAAAGAAATAAAAAATAGTTGAACTGGGTATAAACTGCGACGTATTGTTAGCGGGCGCACCATCCTCAAGGTGCACCGGTTGCAGGGTATAAACTGCGCCCCTGTATGGTTGGAGGATTTTGGTGGGGAGGGAAGGGGAGGATTAATTTTTTACTTTATTACTACGTAAATTATTGAATTTGTTAGTTTTAGGGTGTGGAAGTAGAAGTTTGGGTGAAAGTATAGAAATGATTCTTACGCTCTAATTTACTTCTAGAATCAATTTTTTCTAAAAGTTGGGAGAGAGAAAGAGAAATGAAATAAGTTTTAGGGAAAACTGTCAAATAAGTCCTCAAACTTTCATAAAAAGTCAATTAAGTCCTTCTATAGGAGACTCTGTCCGGTCGTCGCGATTTGGGGTGATTCCTTGTAGAATTTGTTGATGAAATTTTTTGAGCATCTTATTCATCAAGTCTAGTTTACTCATACCAAATTTCAGCTAAAAATTTAATCGGGAGCGCATTCAGATTAATTTGAGAACGCAAAAATGCGCAGTTATCTTCAAGATTTAATTTGAATGAGTTCCTGATTGGATTTTTAGCTGAAATTTGGTATGAGTAAACTAGACTTGGTGAATAAGATGCTCAAAAAATTTCATAAAAAAATTCCACCGGGAACAGCCCCAAATCGCAACGGCCGGACAGAACCTCCTATAGAAGGACTTAATTGACATTTTTATGAAAGTTCGAGGACCTATTTGACAGTTTTCCCTAAGTTTTATATTAAACTCGAATAAGTATACGCCTAAAAGAAATGAACACACGCAAATGAATATTGAGCACATTAGAAATGAGTTTTATGTTAGACTCAAATGAGTATAGAGCCCAAAAAGAATGAGCATGCACAAATGAGTTTTTTATTTAAAAAATTTGTTTTGGCTAGGTGACTGGGGAACTACAAATACTCCCTCCGCCCGAAAAGGTTTGCCAACTTTGATTTTCACGTGGATTAATAAAGTAAAAATGGTGCGGTTGAAATTTATGCAAAGGAGATAGAATCAACTTTAACCACATATTCCTTACTTTAAATGAAAATGTCAAATCTTTTTGGGACATCCAAAAAAAGAAATTTAAGAAACCTTTTCGGGACGGAGAGTATTAAAAATGACGTGGAAATATTGAAACTAATGGTGAGGATATGATGTGAGATCAAGTTATATGATTGGTTTAAAATGAAGATATCAAAACATTCATTTTTTTGTGTATGTACGGCAGAATTCTCCCATTTAAAAATCAATCAAATTGTCAAATACTCTATTTGGAATGATGTTTTATTGAATTTCATAGGTAAAAGTGTGACTATAATTTAGGGGTGGGCATAAAACTCAAACCGAACCGGTACCGAATCGTCCCGTAATAATACCGAACCGAATACCGGGTATTTAAACGGTTCTATGGATTTTTATCCCGTACCGAAACCGTACCGTTTGAAACGGGTACGGGACCGGTCCTAGATTTTGAGAACCGAAAAATACCGGACCGAACCGTTCGTAAATAATGCATTTGAATTTTTTATATTTTTTCTATATCAATAGATCTAGACGAACAATTTTATACCACAAGTATGTATTCATGTGTCCCTAAGATATCTAAAATATGTTGTTTATATATATATTGCTAGTTTTTTTAAAAGATAATTTATGTTATATTTTGGTATGTAGGGGAGAGCACGGGTCAGGTTCGGGTCGGGCGGTTTGAAAAACCCAAGACCCTATCGGGTATCGGGTGACCTGATTGGATACCCGATCCTATGCATTTAAAATATAAAAAAATCGGGTTTTTAAGTTTCGGGTTTATGTCGGGTGCGGGTCGGGTTTCGGGTTAAATCGGGTTACAAAATTAGCCAAAAAAATCAGACTTTAAATACAATTTGAACTTTGATGTTTACAATCAAACCATACTGAGCTTAAGTCCAAAAAAGATAACAAAATGAAATGAGACTAAGTTTACACATTACAATGTTTTAAACTTTAAAGTACAAACTTATAAATGTTACAACTTTAGAAGTTGCCATTCAAAATTCCCAAACAGC